AATGGAATGTCCAATGTCTCGATTCTCATATTATTCTATTTGATTAATTCAATGTATACAGAACAAACATTATCTTCGACCCTTGACCCAGACAGAGTTGTGCAGTAAAGCAGTTAGTCATTTGAGACAGGAAATGTGATATTTTAGCTTGAATTATTGAGGTATGGATATCTGTACTTCGGGTTATTTTCGCGGATAGCGAGTGTTCGGTTTTTGTCACCGGAGCAGTCAAATAGGCTTCTTGATCAATGTGTTAAATTTGCAACAGTGAGGACGTTTTCTCGGAGATGACTGATATCGTCTCTTACGCTACGTATGTCATTCATGAGAGGCAGGTGAAGATCAAGATAATTGCGCACTGTGAATGCATGTGAAGAATTCACGAGTCTCTAATCAGAATGATAAGGGGCAGGTAGTGTTGCGGGACTGATGAGCGTGGTTTTGGATTTCTTGATGAAGAATTCTAGTGAGGGAGCCAGAAAGAAACCCATGGTAGATAGAAGCCGACATCGCGCCTCACTTGATTTCAGTGCGTCGAGCACGACCTACAAAGTACGTCCCTATTCTGGAAGCCTTCATACGTCAAAGACTCTGATATCCTAGGCCCCAGAAAAACTCCGGAGAAGAATGATCGCCTCCAAATTTCTGGTTATTATTAGGTAATAATGATAGGGGAGAGAAAACGATAGGCACTAGACAGTAGAGTAATAACCGTGAAACCAGATACCAATAGAAGAACGCTGGTGAGGAATGTTTAGAAACAGAGCAAGAATGATTGCAGCGTCCATTCTGCACGGTACTAGATACTGCAAGTAGTTCTGAAGAAAAGAGCCTTAAGAAAGTAATAGACAGTAACCTCACGGAACGTCATTGTAAACGAACTATGCTATGAAAAACCCTTCAGACGTTATCCGTGCAGTCATAAGATATACCTAAAAGTAAATTAACCGGTATTAAATAAAATGTTGCTATACCTTGGAAAATGTCAGTCTACGACAGCTTTTTCGGTCTTTAACACAATCGAACTGACTGCCAAAAAACCAAAAAAAGGGGATTTTCGTGAGTGTTCATTTTTGAGCAATAATGGAAATACAGGCGCATAAATGGAACAGAGAATTGATATATCATTCTAATCGTCCAAAAAAATCGAATAAGTTAATATTCGGGACTACATGAGCCGTCAGCATGTGCCGCTTCCAAAAACACTAGTGTTCTTAAACAAATGAAATTTTGCCAGAACCACAAGTAGAAAAAATTTAGTAAGTCAATATTCTTTTTGAAGACATAGGATAGACAGTTTTTCTCTTAGATTGACATAATTAATTAGAAACAATGAAGACTAAGATTTTAGCATGTTGAGACGATTGCGCAAACAATAGGGAACAGAAGTAAAAGTATTTCATTTAAAGGATTGTTAATTTTGAAACTAACCTACTGTGGACGTTGGATACACTACGGAGCATGGAAAGATCGTTCTATCAAAGTATTCTGCGTAACAAATTACCGGTATTCTCATGAGATGTAAGCAGAAGAGAAGAGCATGGTGTATAACTCTACCTGATAGAGAAGCGAAAGCGATGAGAGGAGAAGGGGCGAAGAAAAAGTTAGCGAGGCTGAGAAACATGGCACCTAGGACACTGGGCTAGCTACAATCATTCCCTGATGGTGAATTAACCAAATGCGTAAAATTAAGGGTGTGAACTGAATGTAAAGCTAGGGAGCAGAGGTTCGAACAAACAAGGTTGAAGAAAGAAAGTGCATCGACAAAATGAGGTGAGTCGGAAAAAGTAACTTGTTAGTCTCAGAGTAGATAGCGTATCCAAATGTCTAACTGCTTTCCAACCAGTTAACCTTGCACGTAAAAGTAAGGATAGCAGTTGAGGGCTACGTTGAGAGCTAGGGGGAGGGACAACTTGGAACCGAAGCTGAGAATAAAGGCGTAGAGAAGAGAAAGGGACAAAAGCAGACCGGTCGAAATAGGTGCTCGAAATGAACCTTGAGTTATGAACTACCATAACGGGGGAGAGGATTCAGTTAACATGTCTAGAACGTGGAACATGGGTAGGAGTCAAAAACGCGACGAAAAGTATTGTGTTGCTAGTTAGTAGTCACTGGTATCAGTGTAGACCGGGTCAAGTAAATGCGTCTACCATTGCATACATCGTACTCAAGCGAGATCATAAAATGCAAGGGAAATACGGGGTAAGACGGGAAATATGGGTGACTGAGAGGTCCTATCCGTCCTTTAAGCTAGGGAGCCGATATTTTCATATAAACAAGGCAAGTACTGTTAAAGGTTAAAACCTGATGCGCAACATGTAGACAAGTGCAAGTTGTTCAGTTAAAAGACGGGATCTGGTGCAATGAAGTCCAGTGTGCCAGTGGTTCCCGTTGCTTCCTAGTCAGTAGGTCTGAGAGTTAAAGAGTAAGTTGCGACATTTAATAGAACTTGAAACCAGTTTTACTTTGAACTGGAACTCGGTCAATCCAATCCCTGCGACCGCACTTAAAGCGGATTAAGGTTGCTCATGACAGCCTGTCTGCTCAACGAATACCTCTTTTGAACTCGCCATGACTCATGAACCGCCATGAGAAGTGTTGCTGGCTACCAATTGGTGCTCACTAGGTTTGAGTTTTGAGTCCTGGCTCTGCTATCTCTACCTGGCAAGTATAAAAAAGTGCCAAATCGTACTGGAGTTTAGTGTTTGCGTGCGAGCAATAAGTGGCCTTTCAATCAACTTCCGCCCACCGCGCCATATTGTAGGCACCTGTCAGTCATGCAGATTCGCTACGGTCACCCATGGCTTAGTGGCGCAAACTGCTGATATCCGGAAGTCATATAGTCGGAAAGCGGTAGGGGACCGGGGGACGCATACCACTGATGAGACCCAGAAGGTCGAAACAGTTGTCTGGTGATTTTCTAGCCGTGTGAGACCTTGCGTGACTGAGAGGGGGCTGCGAGGAACTGCATCTAAAATGTCCCATCAATACTAATGATAGCAGAAATGTTTTCGTTGGTTTGCTATGTTTATCTGTGTCTGCATGGTGAATAACTTTTCAATCACTGTTAGGGTGCCAGTAGAACAAACAACGACACTTCAAATACTGTATCATCAAAGTAAATCCAACAAGGAACTCGCATAACACTCTTATTTGCTCCTCAAATGCTCATTTTAGCTCCCTGATACGCGTAGTTGAGCTTTTAAACCTTCATCTCATCCGTTTAACACACAAAGAAAACATATTTTGGCTTTTAATAATCAAGTATCCCGTGGCTCCCTATAGTGTGGTTGAAGTACCTGAGCTGAATGACCGGTGGACTGCTTTAGACGATAGATTTTTGTGGGACTCACGTTTCATGTTCATTTCCTTATCTCTCGTTTCCCGATAAGCTACCGCGATCTGAGCAATTTCATCACGAATTGCTTTTTCGGGCATAGAAAAGGGATGGTTATTTAGGAAAACTTTGTATTTTATGCACTTGGGTGGCCAACTACTCGTAGGTGGTAGATTCCGAAGAGTCTCTGGAAATTACAACGGTGTGATTGACTTCGGCTAGGGGTGCGACGATCATAGTGTATTTTTATGTTGTCATGTAGCATGCTTTACAAAGTAAGTTGTTCCATACAGACATAAAAACTCAATACATACACTGCTTTATACTATAATAAATATTCTGCACTGCTGAAGTGTTCGTTTACATTTTCATTTGTGGTTCAAAGTATTATAAGGATTTATCCGTCGTTTTCAATCAGCCTGCGCCTAACAACCACCAAATGTCTCAGAACAATCCGCCATAATGCTTGACTTCATATCGACGGAATTTGTTCGACTCTTTTCTCTAACCAGATTGTCCTAACTTCTTAGATGAGAATAGGCTTGTAGTAGTCTGGAGGGGTAAAAATGAGCTAATTATGCATAACGACAGGTTTATCGTTCTTTTCAGTGGACCGCACATTGAAGTGACCCTAACGGAAAATGTGACACTTGATTATCCGAAAATAGGTGACCTTCGATTTTGGTGAAGCCACACTGAAGCACCTCCATTGTGGTTCCCGTGTTAGTGGCAAATTTATTGCCCAAATCGCAAGATGGATGACGCGATCTAACTCCGGATTTCCACCAAATATTTGTTTACCCACTCTATGCCTCATGGTTACTTGTCCTCACGACATTGCGAAGGCTTGGCACAAGTGGATAAGGGGACTTAAATCCGTTTGAGTATTAAAGATCATAAGCTTCACTTCAAGAGATATCCCTTGTTGTATCTTCACCTAGGATAAGTTAGCACTTGCAGCATCCACCAGAAAGATGCAGAAATTTATAGGCAGGTTGTAGTTCCTGACGGTTGACTCTACGTAGGTGGGAGGCGCCTTTTCGGATCTGCTGCTCCAGGGAGGATCACCGTGAGTTCACCAGGCCGAAGTGAAAGAGTGCAGGAGTACCGTTGTAAGTCCTGCAATTCTCCCGAAGCGATTGGAACTGGGTTAGGGCTAATAAGAACGACAAACCAACGGAGGATCAATGCGAGGAAACTCCTTCGGATTTGGGGCGGACTGTTAGCAGTAAATTTACCGCTAACAACCCTTCCTTCAATGGTTTATTGTCAACTCGATTTCACCCCAGCTGTTAATAGTCATATAGGTGTGATGTGTTAATTGCGTGAATGAAGCTTCGGAACCGAATTGGTTAATGTATTTGCTTCACCTAATTGCTTTTAAGGGTAGATCTGGCATACAAGCCAATATAGGGCTGTAAAGACAGCAAGGTGGTAAATTTAGTATATGAAGAGGTTGTTGTTTGCTAGTCTGAGGAATAATTTTAAGTGCCCACGTTATGTTGGTGAGCGGGAAGTTGCGAGCTTGTATGGACAGGTGCTGATTTGGTTAGCGCTCAGTTATTGTTGAGGGTTGTTACATTAGTATTACAAGTCAGTTCCCATAAATTTGCAAATGATCGCTTGCAAAGCTTACCTCCTTGTTACTCTGTTTATTATTCAGTCCAGTACAGCCATATAGTACGGAGATCTTATCGAGTTCCGAGTTACAAACATCAACAGAACCGTCAACGCTTCAGCCAGCCTCACTCGCGCGAGCATCCTATCCCGAGGCTATGCAGCCTCCGCAACAACAACAACAGAAACCAGAGCCACAGCCACAATCGCAGCAGCCGCAACCGCAACCGCAACCGCAACCGCAACCGCAACCGCAACCGCAGCAGCCGCAGCAGCACCGCAGCAGCCTCAACCGCAGCAACCGCAGCCTCAACAGACGCAGCCACAATCACAATACGGACAGTCAGAAGAGCGCCACCTTATACCGATGCCCACAGAAAATGAGCAGTCCAGTTCCACGGCGCAGCTTTCGTCATTTCATTTCCTACCACCGCGTCAGGAAGCAAAGGATTTGGCACTAGAGTCACTGACAAACTCGATAGAGCAACAACGTGCAATCCTGATGCGGTTGGAGAGAGAACAACAGCAGCGGCTGATCCAGCTACGTGCTGAAGAAGACGAGCGCCGACGTCAAGATGCCGAGGCGTATGAACGAGAAATGGTAAAGATGGAGCAGGAAAGGAAGTAAGCTGGCCCCATTAAAATGTTCGCCACGAACAATACCAGCAAATAGATTTCCAACGACCCTTTCAGTGCCTATTTGATTGGATAATTTGTCTTAAAATGCTCAATCCATATGATTGTTCGGTCGAATTTAGGAAGTAAAATTACGTATTTGCGGCCAAGGATATCATGTGTAAATAAGTTTTCTAATATCCACAAAACTTTAGTGTAAAAATATCAGTCGGCTCTTAAAGCTTGGGTCACTCAGGGTTAGCTTTGAGTGAGGACATAAAACAATACCCTGATGGCACATCCATGTAGACTGGGGTGTGCTGGGCACACAGTTTCTGCCTGATTTCACAGTAGAAATGATCAAAGGAGATGGAACGGCTTGGTTCACTTGGGACTCGAACAGCAGTTTGGATAGTGTTGTTTTCCACACATTGGTTTACGGTAGGCAGTTTGCATTTAAGGTCATACCAGGAAGCGGTCCTAGAGTGTAGCAACCAAGCTTAGAACCCGGATCTGAGTTAAAGCTGGGGACAACAGTTGCATCAATTTCTCTTGAGAGCACCAATGTTCGATTGCGGACATCCATTTGTCCACTTTGTCATGGGAGAAAAGAACTATAAATAAATGATAGGTGGCTTACATTGGACCACCCGTCGACACTGCCATATAGCTCGTGTAGACCAGAGCGCGTAATGTCAGAAAGCATGTGAGTGAGAACGCATCGGTTCGCGAAGTTGACGTACACTCCTTTAACGTACATACCCTGGACCGTTCCAGGATGAGTAGCTTCTTTTGGCAAGATAAAAATTAGCTTACGGAGCTGGGAAGCAGTGGATATTACGCAAATATTCTCGGATAAGTGACCATTTCATTGAGCGAATCTGTGGACAGCGTGTGGCGTCATTCGTCTTGACTCTATGTACAAGGTGTGGACGATAATCTCGTAAGACTAGGGTACATCAGATCGATTGCTTTCCGGTCTACTTGACAGCACCCCCAGTGCGGTTCATTGATTGCCACTTGTTAGCATGTGTTTATACGTAGGCAATCAATGTTGACGGCGGCGTGTGCTTCGTTCAATTTTAGGACTCGGGTGCCCCTGTGCTCTGGGAGAGAGCAAAACTGCAACTACTCACAACATGTCCCATCCATTAGAGCACTGGATTGAAACCTGTCACACTCTGTATCTTGCCTCTCTAAACCCGAAAGTACAACGATAAACCGTTTTGAGAACGGTATGCGCTGTCTTAAATATGGGTCAGGTCAAGAAAAGCAGTGGCGGCACTTTTGAATCGGCTGTTGCTTTTTCCGTCTAATATCATCTTTAACTACTGTGGTTACTTCAGTTTTGCGAGAATAATTCGATAAACGCTGCGGTCAAAATATTTTCAAGGTCACTGGGACCGTCTAACTCCGCGGCCGTGAAATGTTAGATGAACTGAAACTAATTATGAAGATACATTTTAGTAAAATCCTGTTGTATCTACTAATTACAAATTTTAAGGATTCTGTTCAGCAATGTACGATGGTTCCTCTGGAAAGTGATGACAATGCACCCTTTTGTTTATTGTTTAGCTCTCGGTAAAATTTACATTTTTGAAGATGTCATCTTGTCCATCTGCAAATGTATCTATTCAGATGCACAACGATAACCTTGACTTGATTCGGATCAGTTCAATCGAAAAAGGTAACAACTACTTATTGTTTGGCCTAATGTTCACTGAAAGTAATCCCATTGCGTCATCTTGAGCAACAGCGTGGGTACGGAGGATATCAGTATAAAATATTATAATACAAAAGTCATAATATTATCATCGGGCGCCTGTCTGGCGGTTGTCGGGCGGTCGTGCTGGCAGGGAATAGCAACAGTTGCAAACTATTCAGAGCTCTGCTAAGAATATGGCAAACAGCCGAGACGTACCCAACACGTGCTTTTTACCGGACATGTTAGACCACACGAATGACCACACGGGTAACAAAGTTCAGAGCTTACTGGTACAGCTGACTGCTCGTTAGGTAGGGCGTTTACACTTGTGGTAACACTTGACTGGGTCCTGGTGCTCCACCCACGAATAGTTTAATTCCTTCCAGCGTTTGAGGTTGGTATACCCACCTCCACCCTTATTAGTGAACCAGACGAAAAGTTTCACCTCCATCATAAATGCAAAATTCTGCCGCACACCTGAGCAATAAGTTTTCAATGCGCCTGTATTTGTATCAAAGGTAATGTTGAAACATAGTTATGGTGGGCACGCCGGTAGACTGAAAAAACGCTTCCAAAGAACCACTGTAGGAAAAAGGGCATCACTTTCAACTAGGCTTTTCACATTAGAAATAATAACGACTTGGTAGAGGAGTAGTTTCTCGCTTTTAGTATTTTGCTTTACTGATAAGTGAACCTAGTTCCATCTAAAATTTCTCTTTCTTAAATCACCGACGACACTTAAAGATTATCCAGTTATTTCAGCTCAGTTCAGTGCACTTGATAAACCGTGATCCGGGCACCAAAGTGCCGCGGATGCAGTTGCCATGACTCGCGTCGTTAGGTAGGCAATAAGGAACAATAATAAGTAAATGCGCTTAGACTTAAACATGGTATTAACAAAATGGAAGCAATAACGAGGTGCATAAATCTAACCGTATTGAAGTATGGACAACTCACGCAAGAGAATGATTCCAGGGGCGGCACTGACTCTAACAATGCATCACGTTCAGCTGTCTAGACCAGCAACCTCCAGGTGGTGCCATCCGGGTGGTTCGGGTTAATCCCGTTCCAGCGAATGGTTCGGAGGCAGTGTTCCAGAACATGGTGGGTTTTCGCTTGGCAAGCGTTCTCCCTATAACAAGCCACAAAGGTCCGTTTAGCAACACAGTGACGTGGCGGATGTGACTCGCCACTAAATAAAGTCACTGCCTGTTCATCTTCCAGAGGATCCTCAATTCATAAATGCCATCCAGTTCGAAGAGTACCTTTGATCCCCACATACGATGGCGAACACAGCAAACGAACTCACGAATTCAGTCGCAATTCACAAGTTCACTCACCATGCCCACTAACACTACACTTACATGAATACAGCCACCCAAATCCAGAATGTTATTGCTTAACTTGCTATATTTTATACCATTATCAACCGTAACTGTTTGTGTTATCATGATCATGCCTTCGCAGACTTGCCCCGCACTTCCGGGAATAAAAACCTTTATCTATTTATTTATATCTTCACAAAATCAGGCGAATGGAGCTACTAGAGGAACGCTTAAGGCAATACTCTGCAGAGTCTCAGGCTGCTCGGAACGAACTTCGAGCTGCTAAAAAGCTGTGGGAAACAGCGTTGTCCTCAAAAGAGTCAGAAATTGAAACGTTGCGGGAGAATTTAGAATTGATGCGAGCCAATAATACGGGAAGGGAAACCGCTGCAATGGCAGCCGCTCAAAGTGAAATAAGGGAGTTACGTAACCAGCTGAGGGAGATGCAGGATCGATATACGGAAGTACAGAAAGAGTTGGAGGACCGGAGGAAAAAGGCCGAAGAACGTATGAATGCCGTCAGCAGTGAATTAGATCACCTGCGAAGGAAAATGTCGCTTGTCTACGACGCCGTTAAAGAACCACCAAAGGTACAGATCACCATGGTTCCAGACCATACGGACAGCAAGGTAGCTTGGACAGAAACGGAGTAAGTGCATATAAAATACGATTAATTGATTTCATTATTCGTAAAGTAATAATGCACTAAGGCTTAGTGGGAGGACAAACCGAGTAGTGGACCAGGCTTCCGCTGTTATTCTATATTCTGCTGCCTAAAAATTTTAAAATAACCTTTTGTCTACTCGGACTATGAAAGGTAGTTGGTTTTTTAAACAAGCTTTTAAGCGCACATTTCATCGCATCGCAAAGCAGAGTAAATTTTACTTATGGGTAGGAGGATTTTAGTCATAAGTTTAAAGTATTCGGCCCATCAGCTCACAAGCTACATAGCAGTCATAGGTTCGATCTCCAGTAGGGGACCGAGGGACGCGTACCACTGACGAGCTCTAATAGGGCGAAACGCGTCTAGTGTTTCTACGGATTGGCGGTCGTACTATGTAGCATGTGAGCTGATGGGACGAATACATTAAAATTCACGTAAATTTTGTTTAAAGTTAATGGGCACAATCAGGCTAGTGCTATCCGCGTTCAACTTCCTAAACGGACACGGATCGAGATGCGATGAGGAAAGTCTGCTAACTTGAAGTAAGCCATTTGTCTGTGTGAGGACTAGCAGTGTTTATTAAAGATGATAAGCGACAGGATACGACCTAAGGCCTGTGGCTACAAGACTCTGTACCTTAATCGGAGCGTGAAAACACCCCGTGTATGAACAGAATTGGATCGCAGTAGATTCAGGAATTGCGGTCGGACGGTGGAAGTCAGACTGGATACCGAACCAGTGAGGATACTAGTCCGTCCCTTGAACAATCCTACCACACGGTCATGTATGCGGTAAAGGGATGTTTGTCTGGGTTTGGTGGTGATCAGCTGCAGATTTATGCCATTAGAGAGTCAAAATAACCTGCAGAATGACATGGTTTCGGGTTCACAACCTAAGATCCAAGACACTCCAACTGCTTGCTTGTAAGGACTAGGGATAAATGTGGTCTTAAAGGGACTGGAACATGTAGTACGAACCCGTCAGTGTCCGGATTGTGCTGGGATTAAGAAGGTGTTGGGCCGCCCCAAACCGATTCCACGCCACACAGTAATGAGAACGCCGAAAACCAGCCGGACCAAGAATTGTACTGCACTGGAACACAGCGATATAAATAGGATGAAGGGTAACTGCACGTCATAACCACTAACAATATCGAGGATGTGGATTACTATAAATTAACACTACTCAAATCAGTTCAGTTCTGCGTTGAACTCCACATAGATTAGCATACAATCTCTCACTGAGCACAACATCCTATGGGTCCGTCGATTCGTGATTCGCTCGCCTCGTATTCTTAACAGGTGGAATATCCCGCATTAAGCTCCCACTAGTCCCCGCTGCGTTCCAGTGATTAAGCACATGACTTCTATGGAGTTGGGGAGTCTGAGACGGCTGGTCCTCTCACTTCTCGAGAATGCTCAACCAACAGGTGTGGCACTCTGGTACACAGTAAGTAATAGAATCAGGAAGAACAAACGGTCCTTATGCTAATTTGACTTTCTGGGTTAGATTTGCCACGCAGGGACACCGTACAGTACTCATTTTACTGGACCAAATCTGTAGGTCTCATTTGCCTCTTCGTATTGCGTCACAGTAGTTACCGCGGCTTCGGGTGCTTATGATCAATAAAATTCGCACAGCGAGTTTGTCGGATAGCAGGTATCAAGTGGCGCTTCTCGATATCCCTTAACCTGTTTAGTCGAACAATGAACAATGATTTATCACGGGTAAAAAAGTATGTGCTTGACAAGTCCCGTAGGATAGATGGAGTAAAAATTAAAATTTGTAAGATCATCGAATAAGTAAATAGTTATTTCAAGCGTCCACCGAGTTAAATGCACTACTGCATAACGATAGTTTGAAGTGGGAATGGGATGTGCACATACAAAATAGTATAAAGTGCCGTTATAGTTCAGTAAACGAGTGAGAAAGAAAAATGGAAACGACAACGCTCACTCGTGTGTTGCTTCATTTGACAGATGTGATAGGTTAATCCAGTTGGGTTACCTCCAGGCTAATCACATGGACACTTGTGCATGTATGCTTACCGCCACTTTGCGAAGAGGACCGTTAAGCATATGGTTAGGTTTGCATTGTTTCGTCCTCCACATGGAACGGACTATATCAAGTAATGCAATTTGGAAAGTGTTTCATCAAGACAATTTTTAAATAGCGTTAATGTAGGGGCAAGGATAACGTGAGCCGGAAGGGCATTCCAGGCACGGGCCACACGGAGGGAGCGAATGTTTCGTCGCCAAACTAGTCTACTTTAGTGCATAGCTACTTTACGCTAATGGCCTCTCAGGTTGGTATTTGGGTTCAGCTGCAAAAGCTTGCGAGGTGGGTGAGTTGGATTCTTCAGTAGTAAGTAAACCATGATTAGGTCTCCTCTCTGACGTCGATATTCACCACTGTACTATCTCAGGGACTGCGGTCTGCGTTGGTAGAAGAGCTGAAACAATCCTCTAACGAGTTTGGTCGCTCCACGTTGTGGAGCCTCAAGTGCATTGATGTCGCGCTTGCACCAGGGACGCCAGGCCTGGATCTCCTATTCCACGTGAGGCGTCACGTAGGCTTTTAGCATTTGCGGGAAGATTGATAGCTCAAGATTTCCGAAAGCCCTTCGTAAGAGTCCAAGATGTTGACTGGCTCTTTTGGATGCCTTTTCAGCCTGTCTAGAGCAACCAAGATTGTACTGCACCATCACCCCTAGGTCGTTTTCCTGGGAAGCAATTGTGTTACACCATCAAACAGCAAGCTCCGTAAGTGAGTGTTCAATCCAAGCGGAAAAAGCCGAACTTCTGCTCTTCATCTTCATACATTTACAAAATCCGCCTTTCCCTTGGAGTTATTCTGTGCTACAGTGATCTGTTTGTACTTTCTACGTTACAGGCACTTCTCCGAGTTTGTGTGGCCTCGATGCAAGTAAAGCACTAGTTAGCGATCGTAACTAACCTCAGTGCGTAGTTACGTGTACTACGGTGTCACCGCATACAGGAGTGTTGTAGCTAAGGAAGGCCGGGTAGTGGAAGAAACAAAACGGCCGGATGCAGCGAGTTCATCGTCGATACACATGACATATCGATTTTGCATCTCCTTAGGGGCCAGCATTAAGTTCAACTTCGAGTGTAAATTGGACAGTAAATCAAAGGCCTCCAGCGGATATCTCGCTTAGAGTGCGTCTTGGAGTAGAATGATATTTGGCGGCTGAAGCGTCTATTCACTAGCCATGGTAAGGTTCACATCACATCTTAACCATGAACTGCCAAAGTGTCCTCGAAGCGCGCTGGCTACTTGAAGCGAGAAAGGTAAAATCAAGACAATGACGATGCCTCTTATAAGAATTAGCAACCAACATGGGACCTTAACCCAAGGGAGTAGAACTAGAACCAAGGGTTTGAATGGGACGACCTGAGACGAAGGTCAACAAATTGTTTGACAAGCTCCTTCACCGTTGGCTGTATCACTGTGGTCCCTGGAAGCATCAAGTTCAGAAACTGGATCTTCCCATGCAAAAACAAGAAAGGTCATGAGTCGACTGGATTGGGGTTTTTGCGCATTCACCGCAAGGCTTTGAAGAACAGAAAACTGAGTTAAAGCCGAGCTAAATCTCGTTAATATTTTTGATCATTACACATTAACTAGGAATCACGTTGCTATAATGTCACTGATAGTGCGGCTAAACCTGCCCACTTCGAGTAGTATATCAGTGTTTCTACTATCCATGAAATATAACGTGTTGACCCAACGTCAATCCTGTCCCGAATCAAATATGAGGTACGGGCATTCATACACTGGTAGAAATAACTAAAGTCAGGACTCCAGCATACCTAACAACTAGGTCCCTTAGAAGTCGATTTATCCCATTTTTATTGCATTCACTCTATGGTATCAAGATGATACCCGAGCCAACCAGTTGGAGCATATTCGCCACCAATTAGGCACCAGCTAAGGGACCCAGTCGACCTGAGGAGCAAAGAAAATGGATAGGTGCGATTAGCGGACATCTACCAAAAGGACACTAGATACCAGAATCAAAAAAGAACTTATTGTTAAAACGTATTGAAATTTTTTAATTGTCGAAGCACCGAGAAATCATACTTACCTGAACACTATGCTCAAGCCTGCAGGGTTGTCAATGGTTGGGGTTGGTGCTGAAGCCCAATATCCTTCTTTGGGGCTTCCATTGTCGTTTTTTACCGGTTCACAAGCAGCCTCAGTTGTTTGGTTCCGGTTTAGAGCTGGGTGAATTGATGAAAGGGGAAGAAACAGAAGAAGAGGAAGACAATTAGATCCGTCAACCAAAAGCAAACGAGTAATGCACAGTGGTGTATGAAGACTAACACACCAGACCAGAGTGGTACAGAACAGGTTATTTGTAAGTAGCAAAACGCGATACTTGGAGCAATTGTACTCAGGTGAGAAAAGAAGGAGAAATCTAGGCTTAATGCGTCAACGTGACTCCATATGAGCTTTCAAAGCTTCGGATGCGTTAGCAGTAATGTGGTGGAATATGCAGAGAGAGAGGGTGAGTTAAGCTATGGTTAGGTGTCTAAACGTTCCTAAATCTTTATATTTACGTGATTGAGCAATATGTGTTGTATGTTGCGGAGTCGTTGAGGGGCAATGTGGGCTCAGGGGCTTCTCTTGCAAAGTTCACTTGCGGCTGAAAATTTGTGGTTGTGAAGCCTGGGGGCGAACTGACTGCCAGCTGTGCTCTAGAGCTTTAAGTCACCGGGCCATATGAGTTGGTGCGCACGGAGGTCCAGGAATCCCATTTGCTTAGCTGGCAGGAAACAGCAGATCAGTAAATAACTTCTGCAAAGTATCACTGAGAAAAGGCTGCTTGAAGGTAGCGCTAAATCCTGGTGGAATGCACATCTGTCCTTTTTGGAGGCATTGCTATCCCCAAAGGTTGCTCCAGGTAAGTCATACCCCTGAGTGCTAGATAAAATCTTTTGCGCGGATGATGAGGAATGTCACGGAGAA